GAGCAGGCAGCTGAGACAACTTTATTTTTTTTTTTTTCTTTTTTAACCCCTCTAACCTCAGCTTTTGCCTGCAATAAAACACACATTGGGTAATTTATGTTGTTTGGGTTTTTTTTTCTCATGAATGACACCAGAATCTGTCTGTTTTGGTTATAAAATGACTGTTAGAGTACCAGGTTACAGGAAAAGACGAAAATTTTTACTTCAGAAGTTGACAGAAGAAACAATACCTGGTTTAAACACTCCTGCAGTGGAAGCAATGTGCAGCTGAGATGCCTGGTACCACCATAATTAATCTCCCCTTTGTCCATGAGAGGAGGAGAAGAATGACAGAGAGAGCCAGTTTGTCAGAGCAGGCAGCCCTCTTGGTCTGGTAAGAGGATGTTCTTTGTTCCGTGGCAGTTCACAGTGGTACAGACTATCGTGTTCAGATCGATCAAGGATGAATCTTGATAAGAGATCATGAAGTTTCCAGTTGCTGTTTGCGTGGTGGCAGAGGGGGTGGCAGGAGTTCTTTTTGACCTCTCTTAAGGCCCTTGGCAGTGGGGATGGAGTTAGTGAGTGGTCCTGATACAGAATACGAGGACAGCCCGTTTCTAGGTGTGTCCCCTCATGAGAAGTGACGTGTCTCTTCCCCATTCAGATCCAGGTGCAGGTTTTCCAGAGACCTACTTTGGACAGCGTGGCGAGGAAAGGCGAGATGCTCTGGTTACTCCCTCCCTTCCCACCGACTGAGAGCTGCCTTCTTCTGACAGGGACTCATTCCCAAAGAAGGTGACAGAACTTTGGAGGAATCCTGGGTCTCTACCATGGAAAAGGAGATCTGAAGCTGCTGTGTTGCTAGTGTGGTACCTGTTTGTGCTCCTCTGGTCCCAGAGGCAGGGATGCTGTCACATTTTCAGCACAAGCAGTGGGGTTTGTCCATCTGTTCCAAACCCAAACGTGCCTGTATATTTTTAGACAGTGGTTTGCCTGAAAGGGAATGGCAGCACAGTCTTGCTCTTCCTCCCTTTGAGGAGAAGTGAGAGTGCAGCTACAGGCCCATTTCTGAGTGTCTCAGACTGAAGCACTGGTACCTGGTTCCAGAGAGGCAGGGCTTGCTCTGCAGATGCTGGGACTGGAGGGCAGGGCAGGCTGGAGCTGATCAAGGGTGGCTTTGGGTGGGAGCGTGGTGCCCCCATCTTACAGCGGGTCCATGGAGAGAACCAAAGCCTGCAGCAGTGCTGGCTGTGCGCTCTGCTCTCCCCCAGCTCTGGGGGGAACACTTCACTAGTGGGGCAAGTGCCCTGCCTGGGATCTGAGTGACAGCTTCTCATCTTCGCTTCCTGTGGTTTCTCTCTGTAGAGCAACGTGGGAGAGCTCTGTGGTGTGTCTTGTCAGGGCTGTTTGCTCTGCTGTTAAAACTCTACGCAAAAGAGCTTAGCAGTGACCTCGTAGTGGTGAGGACTTCTTGGAGAGGCTGGTGTACTCATCTGCAGCTTTTGCATGAGAGATGATCATCTGAGCTCTGGTAAGTTACTTTTCTAACTAAATTTATCTTTAAATTTGTCTTTATGGGGCAAAAAAACCCCCTGAACCAAATACTAATGCTGTTTGAGTGGTAAGCAAACTGCTGCTGCAGGCTCAGGTATCACCACTGCTTGTTTGGTTGGTTTTTAATAGTTGCAATAAAAAAATACCCACTATTGATGTTTCTGTAAATGCTTCCCAACTTCTGGTTACAATAAAAACCTGCCACACTTAAGAGCTTGTTAACCAATCCAGTAACTGAGCAAGTGTTCATCCATCCAGGCCGTGCTCCAGAGGCAGAGTGACTGGCTAACTTTGCAGTTAGCACAAAGCACTGCTGGGGGGTTTTGCTTTGTTTTTTAAATCCCAGAGCAACTGTTAAAAATAACCTAAAGACATTTAATTAAAGAACAAGCTCTCTTAGCATCATGGAATGTACTGTCAGTAGAGTTTGTATCTTCTGTACAAGCTCCTAGTCTGAATCATTTTTTGGTGTTCATCACTAATACTTGTTACTTATTATCAAGGGGTATTTAGCATTCTTTTTTTTTCCTTTTCATGTTGTTGCATCACTAATTCTTTTCAGTTTATTCAATACGTGGGGAGATCTGTCTTTCTGATTGTTTGATAGTGATACTTTCAGACTAAAACCAGAAAAACCTCATGCTTGACCAGAGTTTAAAGACTTAAGCTTGGTTTTATATGAAAGCATTTCTAATAATTTAATGAACTCAAAATCCAGTGGGAACTTGGATGTATGATTTTCTGTGTTTTTGTAAATCAAATCACTTTGTGAAACACAAGTGCAGTGGTGCTTTTTGGTTGTCTGGAAGAAATAACAGCCCTCTGCCCCCAAGGAAAACAACCCCAAACAAAAACCCAACAGAACAACTCTGGGGAAACACAGCTGAACTGGGTCAGACTCTGTACTTTAAAAATGGTAGCTAAATAAATGGTGATTTATTATAAGAGATGAAGGTGGCTGTGTACTTGGAAAATACATGTTTAGTTACAGACACTGTCACTGCTGTTACTGGGAATGAAAGTATTTCCAGACAGATTGAGGGTGGGGTCCTGCAGTGTGTATGTAACTGTTGGGAATGGGATAAAACCGACTTGTAAAGGGCTTGTACGATACTCCCTGTCAGTGATTTATTACCTTCCCACCTCTCTCCTTTCCACTGTTCCTTTCTGCTGCTGCAGGTGAGTTTAAATGGGTTGATGTTACTTGGTGGGCTACACGCAGGGCTGGTGAGCACTGGTGGGGACGAGGATCTCTGTGATGAGCTTCGCCTGTCCCGTCCCAGCAGTCACGGTATCGGTGTAGCCCACTGTCCCCTCTAAGAGTGTCAGACCTGATCTGGGATCCTGCTTCAGGTGAGGAGGGATTTAGGGGATTTAGTGAACCTACAGGTGCTGAAGGCAAATTATATTAGTGTAGAATCGTGGTGCAAACAGCTTCTGTGCCTTTGTAAGGCCTTGTGACCGTCCTGCCAGGGGTCTGAGGGGAACCAGGTCTCGGCAGCCCTTGAGCAGGCTTATGTTGCCATCTCGCAGCAGCCAGTCAGCAGTGAGCATACAGAAACCACGTGTAGCTTCTACAGAACCTTGGGACAATGTATGTGCTGTTTGGAAAAATTCCTTCTGTTTGTTCTGGAGCAGTTACCTGCTGCTGTCTGTGCACGTCCTGACTGCGCGGGTCTCGTGAGCAGCAGTGGCTCATCAGCCCCCTCTGCCTCCTGCCCCTTTCATGATTTCACAGACCCCTGCCTTGTCTTTCCCCAGCCACAACTCTGTACTTGGAACCTAGAAAAGATGGATGTTCGGTGGCTCTTGCTCTGGCCAAACTCTGAGATAAAGGTTGTTTCAAGTCCTCTGCTGCTTAAAGTTATGGCTTGGCTGTGCCTGATTCTGTGTTAATTTCCCTGTGTGTGTACAAACCCTTTGCTGGTGGGTGAAAGGCCCATGTAAGCAGGTAGGTATGTTTGCCTACTTAAACTGAAACCATTTTTTTCCCTTTCTAATCTTCCAGTTACCATCTCGGGTGCTTTTTACTTCATTAGATAAACAACTGTTGGGAGGAAGTGTGATTTCAAAGTTTCCTTTGGAAAGTACCCAAAAACCTTTGCATTATTGTGCTTTCAATGGCTCAACTTTAGGAATGTTGTGCATATATCATAGCTGGGTTTAATTTCTCCACTATCTTTAAGGGCTTCTGTGTAGGTTGATGTTTGGTTTGGGTACACAGATTTCCACTTGATGGAGGGAAGGCGCTGCTGGAGCGCAGTTTGTTGCTGATGGGATGTGAGTGACCCAGATGAGGAGTTGTACTTGTGCAGCGAGCGCCTTTCCTGTGTTTCAAACACAGAAGCTCATCCTTTGAGCTCCCTTTGTAGCTGAGACGTGATGGTTTCCCTCTGCCATGTGCCTGCAGTGTAGCTTTAGGTGCTGTAAATTCACCCAGCAGCTTAGGCCGAGCCCTCCCACTTGTATGTGAACATCAGCGAAGGCAGAGAAGTGTGGGTGGAAGGATGGAAATAACCCTGTGTCTCTCAGACTGTCTGATGGATGTTACCAGGTGTTCTGCATCCTGCACTACACACTGTCTGTTCCAAGAGACCTGGCACATCTTCTCTGAAGTGCTGAACCCCTCCAGCTACTGTTCCAGTTGTCCACGTGACTGATGCCCCCCCTGAACCTCTCCTAAATGCTGCAGCTTCTTACAGTTTGGTTAACAGCCCAGTACAGATGCCAACAGCCCCTTTCAGATCTGTACTTTCAAAACTATTGCTTCATTTTAACAGGAGGGTTCCACACACACTCTTCATAAAACTGTGGCACCAGCAAGGTTAGAGCAGTGCAGTTACAGAGCACTGGGGTAACTGGCACACTGGAAAAGCAATCCTGCTTGTATCTTTGCCACTGCTGCTTTTCTTTTTTCCTGGGAAGCCTGCACAATCCATCGCTGCAGTTTTTTAAGGACAGGCTAATAACACTGTACATCTCTCAGCAGTGGCAGAGGAATTTTAACTAGGGCAAAATTTAATGGGAAATGTCATGTAATTAAATGGGAAATTAATGCCAGGCCCTCCACAGGTGCTGTCAGTTCTTCACTTCTAAAGTTCTCCTGTACTGCTGCAGTTGTTGGCGAAAGCTGTGGCCTTCTCTGTAGCTGTGTTTTGGTTTTTTTTAGTGTTTTGGGTTTTCTTCGGGGGAGGAATCGCTACCTCTGTTATTTGAATATTGTCACAGTGTGATGATTTTAATGCCAGTAAGTACTCAGTGCTTGTATTTTACATGCTTTATTCTTCCTCACAGTAACACCACTTTCCATCCAACTATACCGAGCCCAGACCTGAACGACAGACTCCACATCACTCCATGGTGCAGCTTTAGCTCTGACCCACTTCAGAGGAAATAAAACTCCTGAGGTAAGAGATGGCTTAAGACTCTTATCCCATGTGGGATATCCCTCCTCTCCAGCAGAAATCATGGCAGATATTGCCAGGACTGAAGGAGTCTCCAGTGAGACCGTTGCCAATGCCAGTTCAGAGCTCAGTTTGGAAGCAGATTTCCAGTATTCCCTGTTTACCATCATCTACAGCATTGTCTTTGTGCTGGGACTGATAGAAAATGTCTTAGCTCTGTACTTCCTGTCCTGCAGAGTGAAGCACACTTCTCATTCCCACGTCTACATGATTAACCTGGCTCTGGTAGACACCTTGTTTGTTTGTGTGTTGCCTTTTAAAATTAATTACCACCTGAATGGCAACAATTGGATCTTTGGTGACATGGCTTGTAGGATAACTGGGAGTTTGTACTATATCAACATCTATCTGAGCATTGCCTTCTTCACCTGCATTTGTGTGGATCGCTACGTTGCAGTGTTGCATCCCTTCACCTACATCCAGATCAAAGTCAGCTACTGTGTGTTCGTGGTCACAGTCCTTTGGGCGGTCGCTCTGAGTGTCCTGGTTCCACTCATTGTTGGAGGTCCCCTGCACAACAGTGGTGTGAGGAACACAACAGCATGTTTTGAGAAATTTACTAGAAGTAGCTGGACTTACCGCATGGCACCTTACAACATCCTGGCCTTGGTTTTCGGGTTTGTGATCCCATTTTCCATCATTCTGATCTCATACCCCCTCATCGCGAGGAGGATCTCGCAGATCAGACGCAGCATTCGCAAGAGGAAGGCCCTGAACACCATTTACTTCATCTTGCTCATTTGTGCTTTGTGCTTTCTGCCCTATCACCTCACACACTTGCTCCACTTCTTAATGAGGATCCAGGTCATCCAGAACGAGGCATTTACCAGCTTGATCTACAAAATGCGAAGGGTCACCTTAGCCCTGGTGAGTTTCAACTGTTGCCTGAACCCCCTCTTGTACTACTACACCTCTTCCAGCAAGCAGTGCTGCTTCAACCTCAAGCTGAGATTCAGGTCTAAAATGGTGTACACCATCTGTGACCAGAAGTGTGGGGAGTCCTCCTACGTCTATAAACTGCAACAGAGACATGGAAATAAAAACCACAGAGATGGAATCAACGGATCTGTGTAAAGTAAGTACAACATTCATCTTCCCAGCTGTTGTTTGTTTGCTTTTTGGAAAACAAATCTGTGAACCCTGTGATTCTTTCACGCAGTGGTTGTTACATCAGGGCAGGACTGGAGGTAAGTACCTACCAGCTCTATGTTTTTATTATCCAGCTGGGACTGAGCTGTATTCTGTCAGACCTGGATGGCACATGGTGAAAGGTGCTGTGTTCATCATATGTTGATGTTTTGCTCACCTTTTATTTAACTTTGGGGTTGGTAGAACACAGGCCTCTCTGTTGCTTGAAAGAAATCAGCCTCCTGACCTCCAAGGAGAATTCAAGCTGGGTATCTATTAATGCAAATCTAGAAGATAACAGATCGGAGTATGGACCAGTCTGTTAACCCCGGGCAGGGCCAGAACGAGCTCCTCTGGCCACATGGTCACTGAGGGATGTCACTGTAGGAGCTGCCACCATTCCTTACGCTCTGCACTCCTGTTTGGTGGCAAAGCTCTTCTCTGTCACTGTGTTTGTATCACAAAATGTATCTATCTGACCTGTTTCACCCTTTCTCTTGTATTAACAGACCCACCCAGCTTCTGAGAACTGCTGACTTTTCCATCCTGTGAAACATGAGACTTTGGAGAGAATTGATCATCTGTGGGTCATCAGAGTCACCAGAAAACCACTGGCCTGGCTGAAAAAAACCTGCTTAAAAACCAAGGGCTGACTTAAGAGGATGTGATTTTGGGTAACAGATACACAGACTCGCTGTTCTCTTCCTTTCCACAGCACCACAAACTTTACAGAGCATCTGCTGAGCAGAGGAGAATGGAAGGGAACTTATCCCAGGGCTTGTTTTGGAGGGAAGGAGCTGTGCTCAGCCGGGGCCAGCGCCAGGCTCTGCTCGCTGCCTAAGGACAGGCGGTAAGAGGTTTGGAAAAGAAGCAGCACGGGGGTAGGGGGGTGTTGGGGTCTTGGTTTGAGGGGGGAAAAAAAATGCATTTTAATGGATTTTTTTAAAATTATGATTATTTGGGAGGCTGTATTGATCAGTTAAAGCCAATCAGTGAACCATTTTAGCAATCATCTGAGGTGGATGCAGCAAGCAAGTTAAAATCATTAGAATGGTGCTGATGGTTTGTGTGGGAGCAGTATTGCAGCTGCTGGGATGGGCCTGACGTGTTATTGCTACACACAGTTTGAATCATGCTGCAGAGACACCTGTCACTGATGTATTTTGCTCTTAGCTTGGAGGAGTTTTTTAAATATTGGTGAGAAAACCTGCTCAATTTTTTATAAAATATTGAAAATAGCCATTCCTATGTTCCTCTGCTGGACTGGGCTTGGTAAGACAAGTGCAAATCCTTGTAAAAGGGAGATGACAAGAGTATTTAGGACAAATTAATCTCTTACCTTTCATGCTATATTGCTATTTTTGCCCCAGTTACAGGCTGTGGAAAAACTTCCCAGCACTGGAGAGACTGTTCTTTCCAATTAAACAGATTTTTTTATGCTCTAGACCAAGGGAGACACATTTTTATTAGAGACTCTATCTAGGAGTGCAGCTTCCTTGCAGGCGTGTCCGCTGTCCTTGAGGGAAGTGGAGATAACAAAGGAAATGATGCACATTTAGGGCTTTGCCTCCATTATACTTCTACTTTGCATTTTAATTGTGAAGCTTTGACAGCTGCTGAGGTTTGAAGGGAAATGAGCTGTGGGAGGAGACAAATGATGAGTATCTTTTACCTTATTGTGTGAGCAACTCAAAGCTTGTTCCTCGTGACTCTAAACTCAGGCTGTTCTCACTCCCAGGAAGGTTTCCAGTGGGGCAAGATGACAGTACTGCTGAGTGGTAATCAAACACTCCAATTTATTATTAAAACAAAACCAGAAAAACACCTTGACAATGTAAACAAAATAAAATCTGAATCCCCCTGGAACACTCTGCCTGCTGCTCCCTTGCTCAGGCTGTACTCGGTGGCAGCCCTTTTTTCAGCAGGGATGTGAGATAGCTGCCCAGCTCCTCATCCTAGAGAGGAAAGAGGAACAGGATGAAAGCAATCTTCCACCTGACTCGCCTACTGTGGTAAACACATTTGATCTGGTACCTGGAAACAGACTGAAATAGTTCTTGGATGCATCAAAATCTCATGTTAGCAGTGTTCAAAAATGGAAACTAGTGTGCAAATGCATTTTGGGGTGTTCTTTCAAAACATCAGTGTAAGATTCCTGTTTGGCAAAGGAGGGGGCTGGAGCTGAGGTGTCTCTTTCTTGAAAGCAAAGAATAAAGAACCACTGATTATTTTTTTTTCTTTGCCCTCAAGAAGATGTTTCCTTGCTGTCCAGAAAGCATTTAAAAATACAGCCCTAGAAAGTAAACAAAGACCATGTCTAATTGTACCACAATTTTGTTAGCTGGCTTTCTGCTCGCTGTTTAAAGTTTTACATCTAAGAAACACAATATGAAATACCTCTACTGCATGGCAGCAGTGATACAATTTAGGACACTATAGTGCCCTCAAAACAGACAGAATTATAATTAATTGTAACTGTATTAAGTGTAATTAGTCCAGACTGGCTGGTTTGAGATCAGTGTTTCCAGAGAAAACTGACTCAGTGGAGCTCTTGTAAAATGATTTGTATTGAACCTAAAATGGGAAAGAAAATGGCAGCGACCAAACGCCTTCAGAAGCAGAGGGATGAAGACTGGCCCTGACAACAGCAGCCCACAGCCTGGGACAGTCTAGGACTGTACAGAGTCCAGTGTGAGAAGTGTGTCTGCAAGAAATTCCTACCTGGTAAGTCCAGGACACGAGCAGAACTTTGGTTCCTTGATCCTCCGAGTGTGCTGTGGCTTGGATGAGAATGGACTCCACTGTTATAGACCCATCAGGGAGATGCTGCACGGAATAATCCTTCAGGACACTGGTAAGAGAAAAGAGATTTAATTTACTTTGGGTGGGACACACTCTGTTTTTGAATCCTCAACCCCAGCAGCTGTTATGACTTCAGGGAGAATGGGGCTGAGGCACAGCTTGCTTAATTAATTCCATTAATCATGGAGAATTTCCTACAGCCGTTACTTCTGGCTTTCAGGACAGCTCTAGCTCCAGTCTGAACCCTGCTCATCAGCAACAACCAGCTGCTTTGGGAAGAAAACAGCTTTTCAGGTTAATCCTGAACTCCCAGAGAGCATTAAGAGCTGTCTTGCCCGAATGCTTGGTGGTCTTGCTCCAAACACTTGTACAAATTTTGGGCTAGAAGCAGCAGTGCCAGCAGCAACCCCCCAGGAACAGAGATCTGGGTGGGCCGCTCTAGACCTGATGACCAGCCTCTGGTACTCAGTGCAGTCATTGCTCTGGTGACAGCAGCTCTAGAGCCTGAAACCTGGAGCAGTTGTGTCTTCTGGGCCACAGGGAATTTTCTCTTAATAGAGAAATGATCTTTTCTGGTCTGGAAGTGCAGACAGGAGGGGGCACTTGTAGTACCTCTAGAAGTTTAAGACCATTCCTAGGGGGGGAACCCAAAGCCAGCTCACCCTTTGAGGTGGTTGTACACACGAAGCACCGTCTCGTGTTCTTTCCGCGGATCCTGAATGTGGACGCGGCAGGTGAAACGCAGCTGATGTTCTGTGAGGCCCAGCTCCTTCAGAGCCTGCTCGGGAGAAACCAGGCGGAAGCTCTGCAGAGGAAAAGCACAAATGCAGTAAAAACTTCTTTTGTGTGTGTGTTTTCTGAAGTTTTATTCTGTGGTCAGCTGCACGCAGGTAAGTGTCCATCACTGCACAGCTCCAGCAGGTGAGAGCACTGTGCTCGGGCTGAGCACACCATGGGCAGCACATCAGAGGGAGCAAAATGTCCACCTAAATAATCACATTAACTCTTTACTTCCCTGGTTTAACCTCTATCAGGGGGAATGATCTGTTAAAATATAAACGTGAGGAGGTGACAGAGTAAGAACTCCCCCCCTGGCACCTTTCCATTCTTGTCCAACAAACTGAGGTCAACCAGCACCAGGCTCCTGCTGGATGCTTTTGATTTTTACAGGCACAGTGAGTCAGAAATGGTCTCCTCAGAATGGCCGTAGCTGCACACGTGGGTTACAAGGGGCCAGGACAAAAACCAGGCAGACAAACAGACTTTGAACAGAAGCAGCTCTTCACATTTATCTGTTTCCTGTGACTTCATCTGTGAGTGTTCATGAGACCAACCAGTAAATTTCTCCGCTCATGAACAGCAAGATAGTAATTCAGAAGTCAAGACAACTGATAAACTAACTGAAGAGTCTGGCTTGCAGATTAATCTTGCAGGTGTGGTGTTACTGGGGAAACTAGGACTGCTTATCTTTACTTTAGTTCCCTGTTCACCCAGAACGCAGTATGAGTGATGACAACACAGACAGAGGGCACAAGACAAACATAAGAACCTTTTTGACTTACATTATCCTTCATAATTAAGGTGCCGTGCATTAGCTTTGGCTTCTTGACATCTGGTAAGAGACCTAAACCAAGGCCAATGGGAGAGAAAAGAGACAGAGTTAATGATGATGTGCTTACTTACACACCAGGTGACTGTCACAGGACTGAACAGATGGATTTCCAACTCCCTGCTGAGGTTCAGAGACTTAATTGTACATCTTTGTTCTCCTGTCAAAGTGCACGGTGCTTAAACCCTTACCAGAACTCCAGGCATGTAAGAAACCACGCGCAGTAACACAAACAACTGTCTCTCTTCACATATCCCTTCCTGATTTGAGAGGCTTTAGATTTTTCTTAAATTCAGTTTATAAAAGTAATTCCAGAAAAGCATACATGGATTTTGTTTGCCTAGTGAATGGGCAATGAGCAGCAAACAAGGCAGTGTGTGTGTGTGTTTGTTTTTAAATGTTATTGTACGTACAGTGTCAGCATAGGAGCTGCTTCTTTCACAGGCAGCCCTCTCAACCCCTAAACACTGAGAAAACCTGTTCTTCCAGAGGGAGCAGTGCTGGAACTCACATTTCCATCTGAAATAAGCACAAT